TATACATTATATCACCAATCCTCTATCAAGTATACATAAATTCACCAATCATCTATTGAGTATGCTTTTGTACATTATTGTCTTTGTACATCATACATTCGAACAAAGGTGTTATTCCTTCATTTTTCAACAAGGTATTCTAAATAATCACTTCATATATATACCAATTTTTAATTACTTCCTTATTAAACTTATTTATCAATAACAAGATATCTTTATGATATATACTTAGAGTTATACATTATATCACCAATCCTCTATCAAGTATACATAAATTCATTGTTATCCTTATCCATTTTAAAACAAAAAGTTCTAAAGTATTCAATTCATATATATATATCAACCTTTCATTGTATCGTTATTAATCTATTTTACAGCATAATTGTATTATCACTTAACTCCTTCAATTAAAACATAAGTAAAACATTTTTCATTTCCAGGTTTTTGACGCATTCTTTTATTGATTGAGGACAGATTTTTTTAAAAAACCCTTTACCAGGAATTTCACTGGCCAAAACCATCGTGCAAAGTGGGTAAATGAAATGGAATGAAAAATGTGGGTGCTAGCAACAAAAAGTCTTTTAAAAAAAATCCCCCCCCCCCTCCTCTGCCAGCAGAGCTCCAGATTCCTTTTTTATTACTTCACTAAATTTCAGCAAACATTTTTACGGATTATACTACTAAAATGCTGAAAACGTTTAAATTGCTGTTTGGTGGCTTGGCCTCACGGAGATGTAAAAACAGTTGGGTGATGAGTGAGGAGCCCTGGGGTTCAAATACTCCCTTCAGCCATGGAAGAAATTTCTGGAAATTTCCCCTGAGGACTTGCAGCTAGCTAGCCAGTCAGTCACTCTAGGCCCAATGTACCTCACAAGGTTGTGATGGCAGTGGAAAAAAAACACACAAAACTGTGAGAATACTGTATTCACTGCTTGGCCTTCCTTTAGGGGGAGAGAGGCAGGATATAAATCTAAAAAAACAGCTTTAAAAGTTATCATTGACCCAGAAGTTATTTCAACAAGGGTCTCTTGTTGACCTCTTGTGTGTGTCTTTCGGGACGAAATGTGTCTAACTAATTGGAATTCCAAAAAGCAGACCAGAAAAAAAGAAATATAATGTGTTGTGTGATTTTTATTGGTTCCCTAATGATCTTTTTATCAGGGCTCTTCTGAAGGAAGAAACCTTCAGACAGTCACGTGTTCTCTCTACCATTATTTTTCCCCCAAGACTATTGCTGTTTTTCTTTTTCCATTGTCTCCTGTAAAAAGCCTTCCGATATCCAAGGAGGCCTCCTTAAATGGCTTTTATTTCTTCAGTAGGCATCTGGGCTACCATCAACCTGAATTCAAAAGATCGTCCTTGGTTCAGACCGTATCCCTGCCCATGGTTGTTAGGAGGGAAAAGATGAGGATGCCATTTGGAAAATACTAGACTTTGCCGAGATGGAAAGATTGACTTTAAAAATAAAGGACAAAGAAGACACATAATGTTATTTGACATGGAATAGATTTTATGAGTGGTCAGAGATAAGAGATAGAAATTAGATGAAGAAAGATTAATGCTATGTATGCACTAAATATAAAGGTTTATAATTATAAATATGCTAATATAATTATGAATAAGCTTATATAAAGAGAAATTGCGCCAAAGCGATTCTATTATATTATTATTATTATTATTGTTGTTGTTGTTGTTGTTGGTTTTGTTACCAGTATATGTGTTAATACTTTGTTTTGTTTTCTCTTTGTTTTTCTTTTGTAAATGATACACCCTGACAATACACTGTATTCAAAATGTTTATGAATAAAAAAAAGGAAGGGAAAAGAGAAAAATAGTACAGAGAGGAAAAGTTTTTGGAGCTTCTCCTCTGCTAGTATTTTTTACCAATAGAAGAGAATATTTGTAGCTCATAGTTGAACTGTGGGGTCCTTGGTGCTTTCTGAGCTTGGTGGTTTTCTTACAGACATTTCATGACCCATTTAGGTCACATCATCAGTGCTGGAAGGGAGCAGGTTTGCTCCAGTAGTGGGTTTCGGCTCCCGTTGCAACTGGTACGCTGCAACGGAAGCCGGGCGTGCACCACGGGCATGCGTGATGTATGCGCATGCACACCCATCACCTGAGACGCTCCAGCTGCTCGGCGGAGCATCGCGCAGGCACTGTACACTGTGCGTGCATGCCCAAATGGCCCGTTTCCTTCAAATACAGGTAAGGAATGAGGGCGGGCCCTCCAAAGCACCGTTCCGGTACAGTGGTTGCTGCTTCCGGCAGGCACTAGTACGTGTGTACCGCCTGCAACCCACCACTGGTTTGCTTGCCATTCGCTTCCAGCACTGATGATGTAACCTAGCTGGGTAATGAGACCTCTGCAGAAAAAAAACCCACTAGTATGTTTACAAGTTGTGCACTGTTTCTGACCTGATTTGGGAGATGTGTTGAGAGACAGAGTGGCAGCACAAACCTAGCACCTGTCTGCAGCTCATCATCGTACCTGCAGCTGCAAGGGAGATGGCATTGTCTATGCTCATACGTATTCCGAAGTACGGAAATTTTGCTGGTCGTCTGAAGTTTGTCCAGATGTTGCTAGAGTCTGTGGTGCAGCCTGCGTGCAGTTGGTAGTTTTTTAGCGAGGTCATGTTTCTCATCAAAGCTGCAGTTGTCTTTGGCAAAAGAATTGCTCCTTGCAGGAGCTCTTCCGTCTATTTGAGTGGAAGAGGGGGGAAAAGTCACTGCTATCCATGTGGAACTGCTGCCCGAAATTATATTGGTAGCGTTCTTTGTATAGCCACCGCCGTCTTAAGAAGCAGCCTAGGGTTATTAATTCATTCTGTCAAACAGTAATTTGTACCTCAACCCTTCCATTTTCACTCCCTTGGGGGAGCTCAGGTTTGAACGCAGTTTTGGGTGGAGACGTGGTGGCTCAGGGGCTAAGACGCTGAGCTTGTCGATCAGAAGGGTCGGCAGTTCGGCGGTTCGAATCCCCTTGCGCCGCGTAACGGAGTGAGCTCCCGTCACTTGTCCCAGCTTCTGCCAACCTAGCAGTTCGAAAGCACGTAAAAAATGCAAGTAGAAAAATTGGAACCACGGTTGGTGGGAAGGGAGCAGCTCTCCGTGCACCTTCCGTGTTTAGTCATGCTGGCCACATGACTACGGAGACGTCTTCAGCCAACGCTGGCTCTTCGGCTTTGAAATGGAGATGAACACTGCCCCTTAGAGTCGGGAACGAGTAACACATATGTGCAAAGGGAACCTTTACCTTTAGTGGAGAATGGAAAATTATCTTTGCAGGACGGATTTCTGTAAAGTTGTAGAACTTAGCTTGAGCATGTAAGGCAGCAATCCCCATCCTTTCTGGGTTGGCGGCTCTGGCAAGGGGGGGGGGAGAGGGATAGTTCCCTGCTAGTGGCAGGCGGGCACAAATGTGTGCAACTCTCCATTTGTTTTAGCTGCAGACACACCTGCCATTTATGCAAGGAGAGCTTTGCCACTTACACGGGGGGGGGGGCGCTTCGTACGTTCTCATGTGCTCGCCCGCCGCATGTATGGCCTAGTTTCGAACAGGCCGCAGCTTGGGGACCCCCTGGTTTCAGGGTTGTTTTGAACTGGAAGCTGTCCTCCTGGTTTTAACACCCTGGTCCTAAAGTTGTGTACGAGCAAAAAAAAAATTGGCTCCCGGGAACACAGATTCCGCCTTCCTGTCTCTAATAAAATAGATCAGAAATTAGCCAATCTTGGAATCATGGCTACCTAGGATTCTCCAGACCAACTCCATTACTAATTCCGCATGGTAAATTAAAACGAGTATAAGGGAGGAAGAGGGCTTTGTCCAGAAGCTTGGGCAATAAGTTTCATTTTTCCTGGTTTGTCAGTTGCAATTTAACATCCTCAGAGCAGGGATGCAAAAAAATGTTACGACCTGAGAATCGGAAACGGGGACGGCCTTGTATGTGAAGGGCCAACGTAAACTTTGCAGATACACCCTTCAAATTTCTGGAAATTCTCCCCCAGCAAAGGCTGCGCACCTCCCTCGGCCTGCCATGCAAACCTTGAAAAGGTGATTAACTTGATGGAGATTCTAACCTCTAGTTTGGAAGGCAGTAATTCTTCACCCCAGGTAAAAGAGGAAGGAGGCATGGTGGGTTTGTGTGAAATTGGCAGGCGGTGCACCCTGCACTTCCTCTGTCCGCCTCTTTGTCTTATTGTTGGAATTTCTGGTGGTTTTCTTTATGGTTAAGTGGGAATTAATGATGCATTCAGCATTGTGGGCAGGTGAACCAGTGCTTGGTCCTGCTGATGGATGACCTACACTTCTTTTTTTTTTTCTTCAGGTGGACCTCTTCAAAAAGACCCTCTTATTAATTCCTATTCATCTGGAAGTCCACTGGTCCTTAATTACTGTGAATCTCCCTAACCGAATTATTTCATTTTATGACTCTCAAGGCATTCATTTTAAGTTCTGTGTAGAGGTAAGCGGAAGAGCTGCTCTTCTGATAAAACTTGTCCCATCTTTTCATATCCCCCCCAAGGACTTTGGTTGTTTCTTTGATAGAAAGAATCCTGAGTGTAGCACAGTCATACTGATTTACAAAACTGGGACTCGCCCGTCCCACTCGTGCCGGCAGAGGAGGGAGTCCCAGCATGAGTCAGTGGTGGAATTCATTTTTTTTTTTACTATCGGTTCTGTGGGCGTGGCTTGGTGCACGTGGCTTGGCTTTGTGGGCGTTGGAGGGGAAGGTTACTGCAAAATCCCCATTTCCTCCTGATCAGCTGGGACTCGGGAGGCAGAGAATAGATGGGGCAGGGCCAGCCACTACTGGTTCTCCAGAACTGGTCAGAACCTGCTTAAAGCCACTTCTGGCATGAGTATTTCAGCGGGCGGAGTCCAGGAGGAGGGCCTTCTCTGCTATGGCTCCTGCCCTCTGGAACATCTTGCTCCCCCCCCCCCCGCCCATGTGAGGTTGGGCACAACCCTCCTAACTTTTCTCAAGGGCCTAAAAGACGTAGCTGTGCCAGTCGGCTTCAGGCTCCAATGGGGGATCAGCACAACGGAGGTGGTTGATTGAGTAATAACAAACCCCGCCTGCTCTCCCCATGTGTTTCTAGTTTTAAGGTTTGATTTTAACATTCTGTTTTTCAACTAAGATGTAACTTGTAAGCCGCCCAGAGTTAACCCTTTGGTAAGATGGGCAATAAGTAAGTAAGTAAATAAATAAATACCGTATTTTTCAGACTATAAGACGCACCAAGATTTCAAAGAGAAAAACAAGAGGGGAAAAAAATAGATTTTGGCTCCCGTGCATCCCGTTTTTGCTCTCCCCAGCCCTCAGGACCACTCTGCAGGCCTCCCAAAACTGAGAAAGGATGCGTAGGGTGGGGTTTGGGGAGGCCAAAAATGGCCATATTCGGTGCATCCAACATTTCCTCCCTCTTTTAGGGGGAAAGAGCATCAGTTGGTTAATACTTTGGATATTTTTGCAGCCAATTGAATTGTGACCTTGGGGAAATGATAAGGCATTGCAGCATCTAAATATTGAAATAAATGTCACATTGCTTGAATTATGCCAGGCCCCTTTTACAGGTAGTCCTCGATTCACGACCATTTGTTTAGTGACCGTTCAAAGTCACAATTATATTGCAAATTCTGACAGGGCCATACTTCTTCCTGCTTTTTTCTGAGTTCTTAATATCCTTTTTACCAATCTATGGTTCTCCAAATTCACTGCGATGGGCAGTCTCAGTGCTCCCAACCATTTTGGCCCAAGACCAACATCTACTTAAGCATTCTGGGAGTTGTAGTCCAACATATCTACCATCGTAACAACTCATGCGAAGGTTCCTGCCTATTCTTAAAGCCGTCTTAAATAACTTTAGCAATTCGTGTCCGTGATAGATCCTTTTCCTTTTGGTAAAACTCCGCAGGCTGCACAGGCAGATTTATTGCAGAGATAAAATGAATTAAAACCCCGCGAGGTTAATTACACTGAAAGCTAATGATTCCTGCAAGATTTACCCAGGATGTTTTTTAAATCATGGCCATTAAGGAAGCTTTCTGTTCCAAGCCAAACGCTTTTCATTGTATCCCACTGACTCACGGAGGACACGGTGTGTGGGGAAGTGCTTGTTTAAGAAACTTACAACCCATCCAAGCAGGCTCTTGATTCATATTCCTCCTCCTATTTTTTTTTTCTCCCCTTAAAAGAACATACGGAAATACTTGCTGACAGAAGCTAAAGAAAAAAACCGGCCCGATTTCCTCCAGGATTGGCAGACGGCTGTTACAAAGGTAAGTGCTATTCATGAAGTCGAAGTAGTTTTTGGGGTAGTACCTGGCGGAAGGTTTGACTTTGTGGTAGCTCACTGTTCTAACTTGGGCTTCCCAAGATCATGAAGCCGATTCCTCATCTCAATAAAAACTTCTTTCACTTTAATTTAAAGTTAATTTTTCTCCAACAAAATCCCAACAAACAGAATTCCAAGAGATTTCACAACAACAGACCTTTATCAGGCTTGGAGAGTTGCCAGGCCGATATCTTCCAAACGCCACGCTGTAACAGCAATTACTTGGAAAGAAATCTGGAACAGATCTCCTCCCTAATGAATTGAACTAATAGTCTCCTGCAAACTCCCCTCCCCTTTCCCTCGTCTTTCAAACTCTCCTCCCCTTTCCCTCCTCTTTTACTCCCTAAGGGAGGGGCCATTCACCGTCCACCTGTGGCTTTACTCCCGAGTCAACCCTTGTTCCTTAGCTGTTCCCTTCGTCTGACAGATCTGCACATGCGCACACCGGGAACAGGCTCCATCCGTTTGTCTGCCTCACTGATGTCTGATTCTGAAGGCAGCTGATACCTGTCAGACAGCCCTGGCCCCCTCTCTGCCTCTGACACAAAGCCCTCATCAGAGCCTTCCCCAGACTCCAGGACTGGCCCATCTTCCTCCCCAACCTCCTCATTGCCCGATTCTGCTGCCAGATCCGCTGGTGGGCCACAAACCCACATTTACACTTGGAAAAGAGTGTTTTTTTGGTGAAACCTGTCTATCAGGGCAATCTGATCTACCCAAATATGGGATGGATCAGCCACAATCCAGGGGCCTTCGCAGTAAGTCGCTATGTGTGTGTGTGTGTGTGTGTGTGTGTGTGTGTGTGTATAGCAATTGTGCTGATAAATAAATAAAGGGAGACTAGTATAGATCTATTT